TGTGTGTGTGTGTGTGTGTGTGTGTGTGTGTGTGTGTGTGTGTGTGTGTGTGTGTGTAAGAAAAGCTGTGTCTCAAAATACATTTGCATGTCTTGTCTCGTTTTCAGGGCAGCGGAGACTTCACAAGACATCGCCTCTCTGCGTCCTCCTCGCTTCATCCACGAAGATGGTGTCATACGACCATATAAGGAGAGGGAGGGCCTCGGAAGTCAGATGCTCCAGGTAGGACAAAAAAAGTCTCTACATTATCGACTCCACAGTCAGGGCTGGGCAAATAACAGCCGGTTAATGCTCTGCTGTATTTAACAGAGATGAAGAAAACTTAAAGTAACATACGCTTTAAAACAATATCGTTTATGCACTCTAAATTATTTGCCCAGTTTTGCTAGTAGAGTTGTGTGAGTGTACATACAGGCATATGGACATAGAGTTATTATAGGATTTATTTATTTTTTAAACCATCCTCCCGTTAGTCTGCTTTATTCTAACTATCTTTAAACTTTTTTTATCCATTGTATTGGCCTTACCTGTTAACGGATCCTGAGAGAGCTCAATTCTTACTGATTAATTCACATCCGTGGCTGTAAGAACATAAAATAACACATTTGCAACAAAAGTAAATACGCATAAGCAAAACCAGAGAGAAGTTTCAGAACCCCTTTAGTTCCAAAGAAAACATGAGACAAGTGTTTAAGTTCTGTTTCATTTGTTGGTCTTACTTTTGCTGACATAGCAGTTATTCTGGATGGAGTGGGTGGAAGTTTCTGATCGTGAGTGTCAGGTCAGCGCTACACTGTTTGGTTCCTAGTGAAGATTTACAGATAGGTGACAAATTAAAGTGTCCCATCGAGGTGCCGGGCCACAGCGAGCCTCCAGCACAGCTTTGATGCTCCTCATGTAAAGAGTCTAAAAATGTCTGGATTCTACTGGAGTGTTGTTCCCTCATCTGGCGCTTTGAGCACGGCCGTGCAGAGCGCTGTCCAACAAAGACATTGGTTTGGTCGGGAGCTGGTGACTGCGAAGACTATAGCACGTGATTCATGTCATTTTGATGTTCATCAAACCATTCTGTAGCCCCTCATGTTCATCCCTTCGTGTCATTTAGGTTTTCCCTTTAATTTGTCACCCATCTGAATCACCAGCCTCAGACTCAGGCTAAGTTTGTGTGTGTCGATGTGTTCGTGATAGAGTAGTCTCCTAATTTGGAACCAATCACACAAGCAAACTACCAATCACGAGATGTCACATTTCATGCTTGTGTTTTATGTTTCTGTTGTAGTTCGTTACATAGGCTTCAAATAGATTGAGTTAATTGAATTTACTTTATACTTTGGGTGGGAAACTCTAGACAGCAAAGCAAATGGAAGGAAGCAAATTGAACTGGTCTTGAGATAAATATATAAAGAAGATATAATGTATATTTACAGCAGAATAATTCTTTGACGGAGGAGAGACGAGGCCAAACACACTCTCAACTTGGTGTGAGTGGTTTTGACCCGTCTTTATTTGACGATGTGACGCTACGTAGCTGTCTGGGTAGAAACGCTGTTCTCTCTGCACTGACCCTGACTCTTCTCTCTTGTCGTGTCCACAGAAGAGGTTGGCCTTCAGTGAATGGCAAAGAACTCACTCAGAGGATGAGTGTGATGAGGAAAACTAGCAGAAGTGTAGCGTCAGTGCTTTGTCTTTAGTCTGTGCCAGAGTTGTAGTTCACGTTTGAAAAATTGAAACAAACCAAAGAGTAATTTAAGTGTTTCTATGCATTTCATATATTTTAGTTGCTTGTTGACTTGATGTGTCTTTATGTTTTATTATCTAATCCATCACTTTTCTTTCATCTTTTTCTCACAAGCCACAAAGGAAACATTTCGTCTTGTTTTTTTAGACATTCATTCACTGTTGGAGAAAACTCATAATCATAGAGATTTGTCTACTTTCTTTATTACTTAATCCTTGTTTTATCATTTTATCATTCTGTCATTCACTGCCCTCTTCTTCTCAATAAAGTGTTCACACTTTAAACTCCTACCTGCCATTATCTTTCTTTCTTTCATCCCATCATCCCATTGTCCAGACGGCCATTGTAGCCGATACATATTTACAGTGTGCCGTTGTTGGAAAATGTTTTTTTGTGTATGTAAATTGTCATGGAACATATACATGTTGGTATCCTGCTAGTTGCTTCTTTTTTTTTTTTTTTATTCTTGCTGTTTGTTTAAATATTCACTCACTTTCTTCCTCTAATTTCTTCAGAAAATTGAGAATGGACGTTTTGCCAAGTACAGGTACTTCGCTCATGCCAAGGTCAATGAGTCCGACTTCCTCATGATCACCAAGAGGTGAGTGTTGTTAACATCCGATTCGGCTACTTTCTCCTTTTGTGTGTGTGAGCATTACGTTTGGTTTTCCTACCGTGTTCTCAAACACTCATGAACGTGTGGAATCAGTAAATCCTCATTATTGTGTGGTTTTACTCAGGAGTCTTCAAAGGACATGTTTGTCGCTTTGCCTAACCTTGCTGTGGTTTCCTTTCCAGGGGAATATTTTTCGTGACCAAAGGCACATTTGGCCAGCTGACCTGTGAATGGCAGTATCTGTTTGAAGAGTTCACCAAGGATCCAATGATTGTAGAGGACCGGCGACTTCGCATCGAGGCCAAGGTACAATGGCAAACTCTCACAACTGAAGTTTACTTTGTCCCCTCAGGAGACTTGTTGATCAACAGATTTACAGGTTTAAACAATAATTTAGCAGATCGTTGCATTAAACACGTTACGTTGTGTTCTGCAGGAGAGAGTGAAGTCTGTCTTCCATGCCAAGGAGTTTGGGAAGATCATAAACTTCAAGAATGCTGAGTTAGCCAAGGTGAGTGGACCATTTGGACTATGCTGCAAAAAGATGCTCCTATTTTATTTATTCTATATATAGATTCATTTTTTTATTGTTCATGTGTTTAAGAAATGCCTGATTGTCTATTTATATTCAAACTAGCCCACTTGTTGTCGTGGAACTTGTTTCCTTGTGTCATCAGTTGAAATACTAGTCACAGAAATGAGTTCTAACTTTGGTTCCTATTTGTTTTCAGTGGGTTCTTGCCAGATTGGACGATGCAAGAGACAGTTTACCCAAATACTGACTCATCAAGAAGAGCGAGAAACGATCATAATTTAACAAAATAAAACGCACACAAAGTCTGTGTGTGTGTGTCAGTGCCTTTGTTCTTTACTGCATGCCACTTTGGTTAACCTCCACGTGTGAGTCATGGTAAACGATGCTCTGTGTGTGTGTGTGTGTGTGTGTGTGTGTGTGTGTGTGCGCGCATGCTTACGGAAGTGCTAGAAATGAACGGCTGACTTCCATTCATTTACCACAGAAGCTCAGAATACACTGAACCAAACATCGCCTCACTGTCTTCACTCTGATTGCACTCATCTTTTCACACACAGTTGATTTCTGATGATCTCTTTAATGAAACGATAACACAACCTTTAGCCAGACTCCATCAAATACACATTAAGTCACTCATTTTGATTATTGAACATATTCCAAGTTGTGTTTTGCTGTAGAAGCTTGAATAACAGTGAGGCCAAATCACCCGTTGTTGTTGTCGCACATTTAATGTTGTTCACTGTTGTTTTTACTGGATTATATAAAAGGGAAACTAATTCAATTGTTTTGATAGGCCTCTGTCACACACGATTTAAAATGTGCTGTTTTCAAACCCGTTTCCTTTTGCTCTCACGTAATCTCCATTTCTCCTCTTGTTAAATACATTTCTGTTAGATGAAGACTGTTCAGTGTGTGATTTAGAGCCGCATGCTATTTTTATACCGTACTATCGAGCTGTATATTGATCTAATGAAGTATATCTGTATATAACCATCTAACACAATAGTCTGTATTACGGCGTTACAGATTGTCATTTTGTGATTTTTAGGTTTTTATACTACACTTATGCAATGCCAACTCTGTTAACTATGTTGATGATTTATGCAGAGAAAAGTATATTTCAAAGAAATTAATGCAAATTATTAACAGCTGCTGTTTACGCTGATGTATATTTTTTGGTTTTGGGTGCATAGCAGTTTTAATAAGACTTAATATTTATGTTGCCAGTAATGTTTGTCATTTATGAGCAGAGTGTTCACTGCAGTGGCTTCATGTGTTTCCCCCACTGTTTGAAAAAAAATAAAATAAATAATAATAAAATGTGTTTCAAGTGTATCTCTTGTACCCAGAAAATCTCAAGCACACAAAATGCACTCTTAATTAAGTAACTATAATTCTTTATTGAAAATAACCATAAATATAACTTCCATTTCTCCAAAGAATAAACGGTTGAGAAGAGTTTTCGAAAGCACAACTTGGATTATTTACATCTAACTGACTGTCCTGAGTAAATAAGGCACTTGCAGGCAAAAGCAGACACGATGCTCAGTGTGAGGGGAAAAAAAAAACATCGAGACAATATTAAAACACCAAACTCACGACTAATGGGATTCTTGCAGAAATTGTATACTTGGATCCTATTTCTGATAACTGTATTTTTAAAAGTAATAAAATAAGTAGCCCACACAATAGGTAAACGACATTACTTCCCACTGACTTTCACATTCTTACTTCTACTGCAAAGTATCATTTTCTTACAGCACATTTCTAAAAGGCTGGAATATACAAAACACACAAAATCTGCATTTCAGACACTATAACTAAGGAAAGCGGTCTGTTACATGTTAGTATTCTCTTTGGCTGGATTTTTACAGGCACAAAAAACGAAAAATATTTAAATCTTTGGATTAAAGAAACCATAAATCTTTTCAGTGGATCTAATTGTTCTCTGTTTAGCCAGCCAAGAAACAAGCCCTGTAATGCTGTGTGTTAAGTAATTCTCCTATCTTGGCTCTCCTCATGTCTGTCCTCCCTTTCACACCAGATTGAACTCCTTCAGGTTGTGTCTGAGGATGGTGTCTTTGACGGCCACGAAGACGAAGCGGATGTTTTCTGTGTCCGTGGCGCAGGTAAAGTGAGGGTACAGCTGCTTGTCCTTGTCTGGGTTTTGTTCTTGGTACATTTTCAGGATGAATTCTTGAGCAGATGTCGTATCCTGCTGAGGTCCTGCAATTCAGGTTTGATATTATTTCAATACGTTTTAAGTAAATAAAAAAAAAAAAAAAAAATAGTCGAGCTTCTCTGAACATTTACAAAGTGATGAGAGACCAAATGTGACAAAAATAAAAGGCATGCTGGTCCAGAGAACGTTTCTCAGTGCACGAGGATGTAGTTGAACTTTACAGAATTATAAAGAGTGGCTCGTTTAGCCTGTCCTCATTGATAATAACTAATTACTGACTGTGGACAAAACAGAAATGCCTCTCAGTATGCAGGTCTGTTGTATCAGACTGCATTTAGCTGTTCCTACTAAACTGGCGAATGAGTTGTACATCGCACGCACTAACTAACTAACTAACCTGTGAATTCAGGGAAGTAGGTGGCTACGTGAGAGTGCATGATCTTCTCCTTGAGGATATCGGTCTTGTTGAGGAACAGTATGACGGAGGAGCGCTGGAACCAGGGATAGGTGATGATGGTTTTGAACAGAGCCTTGCTCTCCTCCATACGGTTCTGAAATGAAAATGGCAGCATGTAAAGCGGCAACAAATGACAAGGGGTCAACGTCTGGAACAGATCTGCTGTTGAGCTGAACTCTCACCTCGTTGTCGCACTCAGCCAGCACCTGGTCGTACTCACTGAGCGCCACCAGGAAGATGATGGAGGTGACGTTCTCAAAGCAGTGGATCCATTTCCTCCTCTCGGACCTCTGGCCCCCCACGTCCACCATCCTGCAGCAACAACAGCACAAAAAGGTATGCAACATCCCCTGTGATGCCTCCTGGTCCAATGCGACAAACATAAGACATTTCCTGTTACACTGGTATGTTATATCTCACCTGAAGATGACATTCTCCATGTCGAAGGGGTATTCGATGATTCCCGTGGTCGGCACTCGGACTCTGAGGATGTCCTGCAGGTCGGGTATGTAAGAGGGTTGAGAAATGCGATCCAGGTCGGTGAGATAGCTGGAAAAAAAGGGAGAAAATGAGTAAAAGGAGAGGAAATCTAAAGGAGGATAATAGAGTGGGGGAATTCCGTAGCTATTGAAACAGGTAGGAAGCGACATAACAGGAGAAACCTGATTCATCGTCCCATAAAATAAAGTGATGTGATCATATGTATATTAGAGTGAATGCACATACATGTGGATTGCATGCAGTTATCTGTACATCGTCACCTTGGTAAGTATTGACTGTGTGAGTGTGGGTTTGTGAGACATTGAGGGGAAGTTGAAACTATTGGAAAAGAGTTTTGCTTCAGCAGAGAAGTACAAATACAGTGTATTTTAGTACACGCGGCATTTGCATAGCTTAAAATAGCAACCACAGGCTAAAAACGGTTCCCTTTCTTTTTCTTTCCTTTTATCTGGATCGACTGTAGCGTGACAAAAAAAACAACAGGATATTTAATTATGCTAATTTGTGTTTCTCTACGAGCAGGTGCTCGTCTGTGTGGTCAGAAGGGACGCCGTCTGTGCTCATTAATGTTTCTTTTTGTAATAACAGAACGCGGCAGCCGGATTGACACAGCAAGATAAAGAGGGTGGGTTTTTATACATTTTATCTGCCAACATTTAACAACTAAATGCTCAAAGCCTTCTCCCCAAAACATCTGGTAGAGAAATACAGAGTCCCATATTCCTTTACTTATTTATGTGGTGCTACGAGTAGTTAGATTTAAATATTCTAGGAATCAGCATAGTAAAAAACAAACCTATGTGTAATTTTGAATTGAAAATCAATTTCCTGCAGGTTGTTAAGCATAATAAATTCATGGAGTGTGTGTGTGTGTGTGTGTGTGTGTGTGTGTGTGTCAAACTGACCAGTTTATTATTTCTAGACCTTATTCTGTGGAGTTGAGGCTTTACCTTGATGTTTTGTCTACACTCTGTAACATCTGTGGGAACTACATGACAGAGCTGTAGAGAGTAGAATCTCAACAAGTTACAATCTGTACCGCGTGTCCAATGCTCACTATTTGGTGGAGTCGGACAGCTGGTACTCTCTGCGTCTGTTGTAGCACTGCTGTATCCCTGCATCGTCCCACAGACTCCTGATGGCCACCGCGAGGCTTTCATGGAACTCCTCCACCTTATCCACTTCCACCTCCAGAACCGAGTTTGCATGGCTCTGTATGGACACACAGACGATCAGAGAGTGGGTCGTCCCACTTTAAAGGGACTCCATGCACGCGGCGTGACAGACAAAGACAAACATTTGCCAAAATAAACTCCAAACATAAGAGCTAACTGGTAGGAAAAGGAGCGGAACCCAGTTCGACAGTGTCTGTACGGTACCTGGTTCTGTGGATCAGCGAAAGAGATGCTCAGCGCCTCCATGGCTCGGGTCATGGTCTGCATGGAGGTGAAGATGTTCTGGTAGACCAGTTTGGCATAGCTCTTCTTGTCCTCATCTGTGTATCCTCCTCCGTGGATAATCCTCATTTGTTTGATGAAGGTACTCTTTCCACTCTCTCCGGTACCTGTTGAATACAGCCGGGCTCAACTCCAGTCATGTCTTTTCACACTCATCTCTGTCTGTGCAACTTGAGACGAGGAGTCGGATTGGAGTTAGATACTATAGCGTTGTCTCCTTTGTATTTAAATATGCCGCAGGGCAATAGAGTGGCGTGGGTTTGGACACAAACCGGCTTTCCTCTGACAGTTAAACAGACACAGACACTCTAGGTACATTTAATGACAAGAAATTATAAATGCACTCCCTCACATGTTCACTGTCTATGTTGAAAACACACACACACACACACACACCCACACACACACACACAGATTCTCGGTCTGTCATGTTCCTCCTCAGTTCTCACAGCTAAAGCTCCTAATTTTCTCTTTCAGGCCACATGATGCTGAATGTATTTGTTTAACAAATGTGTTTGTTGCCAGACCTGAATATTGAAAGTTGACGTGTGTGTGTCTGTGTGTGTCTGTGTGTGTGTGAAACTATACACCTGCATCTGTATCCCTGCCTGTCAGCAAAGTGTGTGGAGGCTCTGTGAGGACTCTGAGTGGTACCAGCAGTCTTGTGGTTTCCTGGCTGTTTTGCATGGCTTCATGAATACTTGAGTCTTTACATCTTTGCAAACAAGGCTGAGACAAATTGTCTGCATTTGAATGCACCTTGTTTACAAGTCAAGTTTCTTGGGGGTGGGGGGTGGGGGGGAGGTTTGGGGCAAGACAGGCAGGTAAATCCTGAGATGGAGGCAAATCGTGATCCTGCAGGTCTGCTGTGCTTTACTTGTTCAGAGAGAGAGTCCGCTCACTCAAAGGGTCGAGTAGGATTCATGTAAGCTCGTGAAGTTCATTCTTTTTGTGACATGTCCGTCTTTAATGTTGCATTTGGTGTCGTTATTTCAGTGGCGCTAACATCCGACTTTTCTTTTTGTTTGGAGCTGATGTTCCATTGTTGAATCATCAATCATTATATTCAAACAACTGATTCATCAACTAACGTATGCTGTAAAAGGTCATACAGACACAGACATACAAGCACCCAGTGCTGTGTCCACATTTCTAAGCTCTTTGCATCTGTTGGCCTGTCACTCCGTTTTACCTGATCAGTGAATGTTGACCATCACGTATGGCTTTCTTCTCTTAATGTTCTCTCTAAAATGTATGAAAACACATACAAATTGAGTCCTGAATCACTTACAGATGAAGTACTGTTTAAATGGCTCCACTGATTTCCCTCATGAAGATCATTTGATTTGTCGTGGGGGAACACGTGTGTGTGTGTGTGTGTGTGTGTGTACACACCCTTCCTTGTGACGCCGGCTCTGTGAATGATTGCTGAAATAAGAACTCCTCTCTCCTGTCACACTCTCGTAGTTCATTCATTCATTCATTATCCAAACCGCTTATCCTGTTCAGGGTCGCGGGGATCTGGAGCCGATCCCAGCTGACATTGGGCGAAGGCAGGGTACACCCTGGACAGGTCGCCAGTTTATCGCAGGGCACATGTAGAGACAGACAAACATTCACACCTACGGGCAATTTTCAAGTCTCCAAATAACCTGAGCTGCATGTCTGTGGACTGTGGGAGGAAGCCGGAGAACCGGGAGGGAACCCACGCTGCAACTCTCGTAGTTATCTCTTCTTTTTTTTTTTTTTGCAACTGAAACTGACATTTTAATTAAGTTATAATTAGAATTATATGAAGTTGAAGGTTGGACAATTCTTTATAATAATCTGCAATCAAATTATATTTGAAATTTTAATAGAATTCCACTATGTGAGTGTAAAGGTATCTACCTTTTATAATATGTGATTACCTTAATAACTAGATGTAGATGTGTTGAGCAATGCCAACACTATGTTTAGTTACTTGTTTTTCACATGTGATGTGTCCTCCGTAATGACTGCAAAAAGGAAAACCAATAGAAATTCGGTCAAAAGAAATAATGAAATAAACCTACTAAGTGAGGTTTTGGAGGAAAACGTGGGGCACAAAAGAAGAAGTCACTCCAAAAAGTTGTAGTTTGTTTGAACTGTGTGGCAGCCATCACACAAAAACAACCTCTGATTCGATGCCGCTTATAAACTTGTCAGTGTACTCGTTCGACATGGTCTATATTTAACTTTTGACTGTTTCTCAGATATTCCAGTCGGCTATATTCCTTCTCAGGCACAACAGCTGTATAATAGTCACGCTGAACTAAAGAGGTTGCAAAGAATCCATGCAAAAGCAGCCTTTCCTCTCAATCCACTGAACCAAGTGACCAATAGCTACTCGTGTATTGGATTGTGTGGAGCGGTGTTGACATGTGCTCATCGTGCTACAGATTTCCATGTCCGGCTGCTGAATGGACAGAAGAGGCAGAACGTGTTGATCTTTCCTTCACTCCCACTCGTCCTCTCCGGGGACCTGACTGTGACCGTCCTAATGAGAGCTCTGAGTCACTCTGACCGGGTACACACAGTAGATTACACATGACTTGATACTTTTGTCATCTAATTGCTATATTATATATCCCAAAAATCTACAGGGTAAGAACCAAAGAGACACAATGCACATTGTGTGTTTCAGACGGTACACAATAGTGTGTTTTCAATGTCGAAAGGTTTCAATAGTTCCACTGAATCCTGAGCTTTGATGACTAACGTCATCTTTTTTCTGGTGACGTGATATACTAAGTCCTGCTAAACAGACAGTTAATAATAATATTAATAATAATAATAACTGTATGTATATAGCACCCTTTTAAAGTCTATAAAGTGCTTTGACAGACAAAGCAAAAGATGACTCAGAAGACAATATAACAGCCAAAATATAAAAATGGGTTTTAAAGCATTTTGACTACCTCGGCTGAAAAGGCTCGTAGCTAAAGGTGCTAACAGTGCAAACAACAGCAGCAGCGCTGACGGAGCTAACAGTGTTTACCTGAAGGGGAAACGTGCTGCTAATGCTCTGAATGTCGAATAGAGAACCTTTAAGAAGTGTTAAAGAAAGTCACTGATTCTGAGGCTGCAGACAGACTTGTATGAGTCAACATTTCTCCTCTATAGCTTGAATCAGACCCAGACGTGCTCTAGAGGTGATCAGTAAAATATTCTAATCCATTGTAAATCAAACGGGGAGCTAATGGAGAGACCAATCAGAAGCTCACAGCTGCTGCATTCTGAACTAGTAGGAGGCGAGAGCTCTGTTCATCCGTTTCACCAGACCACTGACTCGTTCCCGTGTTTTTTCCCCTCCACATACATCTCTCAGAACTTCCCCAGCAGCTCTTATAGTAACTGAGTTTTGAAGCAGCATGCACTGAACCACAATCCACATCATGCTGAATGTTTAATGCGTACCCCCTTTTTCTGATCATATCCACCAATAATTCGTGAGTCATCTACCGTTCGAGTGAGCCGGGAAAATGATTTTCAAGCAAATCAAATGTGGATTCTAATAAATTGTGTGTAGCCCTTTTTCTCAGAGAGCAGTGGAGGCAGACCCACTGCTCATGTCCTGCTCAGGGCTGGATTTGCATGACTTTTGCATGAGGCGTGCCCGCAGCAGCTAGTTATGGCTTTCTGTCACACCACTGACCCAGACCTTGACAGTGGCTCCGGTCCCCTGAGGGGCTCCCCGCACTGCTGCAGTAGAACGGGTTGTGTCCAGAGCGCTGACGGTCATGGAGGCTCTTTGAGATGCCATGTGGCTATTCTCTGATCTGCCGCGCTGGGCTGCCAAAGCTTCAAAAAGTGAACATAGGACACGGTATCACAGCACTGAAAGGGTCAAGCCTCAAGCTCTTTCTCAACCGGCCAGCTGAAAGTGTCCATGAGCAAGTCAGTGAACTCAGACCAGGAAGTGAGCTGTGTCCCTGAAGTAAAGGAAAGACCCCACAGTGTTTAAAAAGTCCCCCTGGAACTCACACTGTCTGTCTGCTGTACGGATAAATGACTCCTGGGCATCACATTCATATTTCCCCCTCACTATGTTATATTCTTTACTCCCTTTTGTCTGCTAATGCTCAGATGAGGCTGGAGTTTATCCCAACAGAGGAAGAGAAAACTCCCACGTGTCTCCAGTCCACCATGGAGCAAACAGGAATCCTCCACCGCGCAGCTCTCTGAGGGAGCTTATCTGGAAATGAGTGCGCTCGTTTTAGTTTCTGTAGACATTCCTGGAAACTCGCACACTTTAAAACTCCTCTTAAGCTCTCTGCCTGTGACTGTTTTCAATATGTCCGTGGCAGCTGAGAACTGAACGAGTCCAGTAGACTAAATGACTTAAGCTTGGAAATTCTCCACGGTACTGAATATTAACGGTATAGCTATACGACTATGGCGGTCGAGCCTGAACCCTCGGGGACAGACAGCGCGCGCTGCACCACATCCGGAGACCAGAATGAGGAGATAGGAAATGTACATCAATTCAACCCATCAAACATCTTAAAAGACAGGGAAGGGACGCGCCTTGTAAAGTGCCTGCTTATTCCTAAATCATAACACCTTATTATAATTCAAATAGAGTTCAGTCGAATGGCTGCTGAGTGCTGTCCCACCTGCCGTGACACCTGCACGTCCAGGTGTGGCCAGGAAGCAGCGAAGTATTCACTCAAAGGAACATTTTAAAGAGCTTTGCAAAAGTATTTCATGGCATTTGGGCAGAACAGATAAGTATGTAGGTACGCGCTAAGAGTTGCATCCCCTTTCAGGCTATAGCCCTACTTTACCCCTCTAAACCCGAAGTCACCCTCCGGGTTTGAACCCCCGGTCCCCGCCAGTGATGCTCACCTAACAGCAGCAGCTTCAGCTCCCTGCGAGAGTCCTTCTTGTCTCTCCGCAGCTGCTTCTCGATCTCCTCGTTGATCCTCTGGTTCTCTTTGTCCTCCGCCGACACGCAACACCCGGCCATCGTTCAGACTGACCGATGAGCCCTTTTTTTTTTTTTTTTTTTTACTGTCACCGTTAAAAATGCTTCAAAGGCCCGCAAAGGTGTGCGCGCGCGCCGTCTTCTCCACTCACTCGCTTCACAAAGTCAGTGGGAATGGACGCGGAGCATCTTTGAAACGTGGCGCCGCCTTCTTCTTCTTCTTCTTCTTCTTTCTCTTAAGTGACAAAAGCAGAATGTGGAGGAAGAAAAATGTTGAATATCCCGCGGTTCAAACAGGGAATCCTTCAAATAAATGGAAAGTCCAGAGTTTAGTTAAATTTTTTTTTAGGAATAAAAGGCGTTGACCCGCTTTGACAAGGTGCTGCGGTTGATCTGATGCAGGAGGACACTTGTTGAACTTTATCTCGGGAGGGCGTGGCACTGGTAGATAGAAAGGGATACATGGGAAGTTAACATCCGCAGCGGGCCGGCGGTGTTGACTTGGCTGTGACATGATGAATAATGAGAACTAAGAACGGTAGAGAAGGGGCACTCACTCATGCTTCAGTCGAAGAATGCAGCAAAAGCCAAGAAAAGTAGGAGCAGTGGGCCTGGCTTGGATAAACTGGCCCTGATGACATGACTGACATCTGCAAATAGCTTTGTTATGTTACACATCAGACGTAACACTGAGTTCAGTGCGGGCAGCTTCCTCCATAGTTTCGATGCTGCTTCGGTGCATCCTCGGACACTGCCATGTCTCCTAACGACCACTAGGGGTCAGGAAGGCCAACTGTGAGTGAATGCATGGGTGTCTGAGGTGTATACTGGCTTTATAAGAAAAGCTAGTATTTTCAACACTTTTAATCTTGTTAGAGAAAGCAGAGGAAGCAGTAATGTTAGTCAATGAGGTGAGTGTCACAGATCAGTGCTCAGTATCATTAAAAAATGCAAAAGAGGGGCAAAAAAAACAAAACAAACTGGGAGATCAAACTATGTATAAATAAGTTCATGTTAATATCAAATGAAAGAACACAAAGATAGAAAGAAGATATATGGTCATAGTTAATACAAATAAATACAATGTAGGCCTATGACTGTAGGAATAATATGGTGATTTTCCTTTCTCATTTTTCTAGAGGGGTACACGATAATGATATAATAATAAACTACATCAAATAGTCGTGGAACTGAAGTAAACTACAGTCTCGTTCTTCAATCCACAAATAAAGTGAGCAGTTACTCTAATGTGAAATCGTTCTTTTAAGAGAATGATTACAGCCAAGTTTGCCTCAGACCGCCTTTAAAATACTGTAAGTTTTTCACAAAACTAAGACAAAAAAACATCTCATTCTCTGTGTCTCATTTTTATCTTTTAAATATCTGTATGTGCGTGCAGTCCTCGATTATATTAGCATCAGTAACAAACATAAATCATAATTCACTAAGAATGTGAGAATGATGAACAGTGTATGTGTAACCAGTGCTTTACATTCATCCACACATTAAAATATATAAATTAATTACAATTGTTGAGTATAGAGCTAACCTTGACAAATAACCACAAGCAGTCTTCAGGTTTTTTTGTGTGCAATTTACTCTCCGCTTCTCCACACTTGTGTCCTTTTTTTTGGAACAACGTTCTCAATGCGTACAGAAGCCCAGGCTACTTTGAATCATCATGATTGCTTTGCAACAAGAACATTCACCACAACAGAAAGACTCAACATGTTATCATCAGCGGGAACAGGTGGGAGGGTCTGTTGGCTGAACCAGGAGGTAAACAAAGTTGGCTCCCTGCCAGCTATGTTTTCCTATTTCTCTCAAAGTATTCAGTTGTCTCTGTTCTCTTTTTGAGCATGTAAAATATTAAAACACTCATGATAACAGGGAGAAAATTAACCTCTAACTTACCGTTGGTAGATATGATTCAACTTTACAAGAACCAAATATGTGTTCACTTTAATTATATTTGCAGTGCTTGACAGAGGTTTGTAATAATAGTTCAAATACAACTTGACTTAGGAATCTGGCCGGTAGTATGGTGGGGAGGAATGACATCGATTTAGAGGCATTAAATTGCCCACTTTGTAGAAATATCTGAAATTATATATGTATCATTGAAATCACCAGTCGACACACATTTGAAAAGAAACATGGCGTTTCATTCAGAAACATGTTGATGGAGTGCCAGTTTATGGAACAAGAAACATTTTACACTACAATAATTGGAGATCACTATAATAGCACTGTGTCATCAATGAGTCAGAATGAAAGCAATCAGATGAAGCGTCTGAGAGAGAGAGCAGTTTATGTAAAGTTGTGTTTCCAAAACTCAACCATGTAGTTCTACACGACGCAGTCCTCAATATACTGTATAGGTAACACTGCGCTGCTCATTAACATACCGCATGATACTTGAACAGCAACAGAGGATTCAAACTGTCAACACCAGCTGGAGTCTCTTAAAGGGAAAATCCAGCCTGAATACAACTCGCATGTGCTCCCTCAGAGTAATGATGTGAACGAGTCACTCACGAGGCTCGGAAAAGAGTCCTTTGTGGCTCGTATTTATCTGTCAAAATTATCAAATTATCGTTTGTATTTATGCCAGTACAATGTATTTCTTATGATGTAAATAAGCTAAACCAAAACACGAATAGTAGTTAGTCTGTTTTTTCATCTTTTTATTACTCTTTGAAGCTCACAAACTTGTGCCAGGCGGTTTCTGCTCACCGGGTTGAATGCAGTGTGAATTGTTTAAACAAGGATTTTCCCTTTAAGCAGCAGAGACAGTGTAAATAAGCACTTTATCACAGCAGGGACACAAGTTACTGATTACTGCAAGTCTACAACAAGTGACCATCAACACTGATAAGTTGAAACTACAGTCCATCTTCAAAACATCTCCTCTAGCAACAAGCAGAATCTCATTAACACCATTTTTATTTTTTTTTTAGCATTCAGTGAAATGTGTGAAAAGTTGGCCCCCTAGTTTTTTCCTATTGGGCCCTGCTGTTGAGACGTGGTTATCGCAAGATTTACTCAATTCTCACTGTGAGTTGGGCTGGAAATGAACTTGTTGAAGCGGTTGTTGACTGCCAAAATCAATCATCCTTGTAAGAAATTTCACCGGCCAGCTGAAATATCTGAAAACAACAGGACCTCCGAGGGAGGGCTGGTTGCCTGCCAAAGTGGCTGGTACAGCCAAACACTCCACAGGTGGCTGGTGGTGGATTAGAGTCCAGATCGTGGCACGTACACATCCTGATGCTATGTGGTTTCATCGTAGTCACATCAGGCTGTTTAATGCATGACAACGCACTATGACGTGAGTTTTAAGACATGAATCTGATGCGACCATATCGTGAAATCAATAGAAGGTATGTTCAGATTTCAATTCACTCGTTATGTTCTTATAATGTCCTGTAATGCTGTTATATATTAGCTACACTTCAGGGCTTCTTATAGCACAGAATAACAAAGAGAGACCACTAAGCTATAACAAACACTCCTCCAGCTGCACATTAGGACATTATGGGCTGCACTAGCGTCACTTCAGAGGCACGGCTTATTCAATAAGGCAATATGTACATGTGAACTGTTGTTTTTTTCTGTGTAATGTTGTCATTTCATAAATAAAGTCTAAAATAATACTGTACATTTTAATGAAATGGTGGCATTCAAGATTGAAACAAAGTAAAAAAAAAACAAAAAAACAACAGAAATATAAAAGCACCTGTGAATGCACCATGGCCAAATGGTTGAGTCTTCTTTTGTGTACACGCTGACTCTGACAGACTACAATACTGAGTTTCTATTGGGGCGGTGTTGAGGGTGATGGCATTCCCATCTAATAGCACAAACAATCAGATAAATACATCCTTAATAAGATTTTTTTTTTATACAAAATCTGAGCCAAAGCAACACTTAACCTGCCTGCTATCCACCTCGTTCTAGCTGTGCTTGTTAAATAAAGCGTATTAAGGTGGTGGGGTGGGGAGTGCTCAGGATCACAAGGGCTGCAGTACACTAAGAAATCTCAAAGTTAATAAATATTTATTGAGACGCAGTGTGATTAAGTTAAATATTGAAGAATAAGAATCAATGAGTGATGTGATTACACCTATATGACAAGTGCTCTGTTCCTGAAGCCAGTTAAACACTAAACTATTACAATTAGCCCTGTAGATTGGATTCAGTCTGCAGTGTTTCCATATAAAAAGTCAATTTAACAAATTGGCTACTATAAGTACTGGCATACTGACTAATGTGTTTCTGGATAATGATATTCCTCTTTATGTCGTTCTGACGCTGAACAATGTTTCGTTGCTGAGAAACGAAACTTACATTCTCCTCTTAAAAAAAGCAAACAAAAACAAACATGTAAATAACATTTTTTTTTCTTCTAAAAAATGAATTAGCCATTAGACATACAATACAATTACATAGATACATATTTCCAATAACGCACATTCAATCCGCCAAAAAAGTAATGATTACAAAGCCAACAAAGATTCTGCTATATCTATATAGATATATCTATATCTATAGATATATCTATATCTATATATATATAGATATATATCTATATATATATCTATATATATATAGATATATATCTATATATATCTATATATATCTATAT